AAAACACGAAATACAACTCTAGGACTTTAATATGCATAACAAAACAATAGCAAAAACACTAAATACAAAAGATACAGTGGAGTGTAGAAATAACACTCAATGTTTACGTTTACGTGGATTTTTTTATGGATTAATTTAATTTTTTGTTTTAATTGGTGGATTTAGTATCTTATAGGTACAAATTGATAATTACGTGTCCATGAAGCAAAAATGATCAAAGAGTAAGAAAAGAGTTGCAATTAGGAAAATAAAATCGAATTAGAAGAGCACAACATCTTCGGTAATGTCCACGAAGTCGAGCATAACTTTCTCATCCGGACTCCAAATCAACTTGTTCCTGCGGCATTAGAAAGCTATTTAAGCTGGCTACAATTCCTCTCTAATGTGAAATTTCCAAATTCGGACTCGAACATGGTCAAATTGGATTCCAAAAGCTGGCACCCACTCAATATACAGTACGAGGACACGAATGCACATCAAGAAACGTGCACAGAAACACTCGCTACAAAATATACGCATATAAGTAAAAGTACAAAAGCCTGCACAAAAGTACTCACGCAAAAGTGCATTCGCAAAAAGGATCATGAAAACACAAACTACAATCCTAGGACATTAATACAAATCAACAAACATGCACAAACACACTCGCTCAAATGGACATGCTCAAACGTACTTGTAAAAAAATATGCGCAAAAGTGCATTTGCAACAACGTTCCTAAAAACACGAAATACAACAGTAGGACTTTAATACGCATAACCAAACAATAGCAAAAACACTAAATACAAAAGATACAGGGGAGTGTAGAAACAACGCTCAACGTTTAAGTTTACGTGGATTTTTTTATGGATTAATTTATGTTTTTGTTTTAATTGGTGGATTTAGTATCTTATAGGTACAAATTGATAATTCGATGTCCATGAAGCAAAAATGATCAAAGAGTAAGAAAAGAGTTGCAATTAGGAAAATAAAATCAAATTAGAAGAGAGGATCCCTCAACGTCTTCAGTAGTGTCCACGAAGTCGAGCATAACTTTCTCATCCGGACTCCAAATCAACTGGTTCCGGCGGCATTAGAAAGCTATTTTAGATGGCTACAATTCCTGTCTAATGTCACATATCCAAATTCGGACTCGAACATGGTCAAAATTGGATTCCAAAAGCGATCATGAAAATATGTGCTACAGTACGAGGACATGAATGCGCATCAAGAAACTTTCACAAAAACACTCCAACAAAATATACGCACATAAGTAAAAGTACAAAAGCATGCACAAAAGTACTCACGCAAAAGTGCATTCGCAAAAAGGATCATGAAAACACAAACTACAATCCTAGGACATTAATACAAATCAACAAACATGCACAAACACACTCGCTCAAATGGACATGCACAAACGTACATGTAAAAAAATATGCGCAAAAGTGAATTCGCAACAACGTTCTTAAAAACACGAAATACAACACTAGGACATTAATACGCATAACCAAACAATAGCAAAAACACTAAATACAAAAGATACAGAGAAGAGTAGAAATAACACTCAACGTTTACGTTTACGTGGATTTTCTTATGGATTAATTTATATTTTTTTTTAATTGGTGGATTTAGTATCTTATAGGTACAAATTGATAATTAGGTGTCCATGAAGCAAAAATGATCAAAGAGTAAGAAAACAGATGCAATTAGGAAAATAAAATCAAATTAGAAGAGAGGATCCCTCAACATCTTCGGTAGTGTCCACGAAATCGAGCATAACTTTCTCATCCTGACTCCAAATCAATTGGTTCCGGCGGCATAAGAAAGCTATTTTAGCTGGCTACTATTCATGTGTAATGTCAAATTTCCAAATTCGGACACGAACATAGTCAAAATTGGATTCCAAAAGCGATCATGAAAATACGTGCTACAGTTCGAGGACACGAATGCGCATCAAGAAACGTGCACAAAAACACTCGCTACAAAATATACGCACATAAGTAAAAGTACAAAACCATGCACAAAAGTACTCACGCAAAAGTGCATTCGCAAAAAGGATCATGAAAACATAAACTACAATCCTAGGACATTAATACAAATCAACAAACATGCACAAACACACTCGCTCAAATGGACATGCACAAACGTACATGTAAAAAAATATGCGCAAAAGTGCGTTCGCAACAACATTCTTAAACAAAACGAAATGCAACACTAGGACTTAAATACGCATAACCAAACAATAGCAAAAACACTAAATACAAAAGATACAGTGGAGTGTAGAAATAACACTCAACATTTACGTTTACGTGGATTTTTTATGGATTAATTTATATTTTTGATTTAATTGGTGGATTTAGTATCCTATAGGTACAAATTGATAATTAGGTGTCCATGAAGCAAAAATGATCAAAGAGTAAGAAAAGAGTTCCAATTAGGAAAATAAAATCATATTAGAAGAGAGGATCCCTCAACATCTTCGGTAATGTCCACGAAGTCGAGCATAACTTTCTCATCCGGACTAAAAAATCAACTGGTTCCGGCTGCATTAGAAAGCTATTTTAGCTGGCTACAATTCTTGTCTAATGTCAAATTTCCAAATTCGGACACGAACATGGTCAAAATTGGATTCCAAAAGCGATCATGAAAATACGTGCTACAGTACGAGGACACGAATGCACATCAAGAAACGTGCACAAAAACACTCGCTACAAAATATACGCACATAAGTAAAAGTACAAAAGCATGCACAAAAGTACTCACGCAAAAGTGCATTCGCAAAAAGGATCATGAAAACACAAACTACAATCCTAGGACATAAATACAAATCAACATACATGCACAAATACACTAGCTCAAATGGACATGCACAAACGTACATGTAAAAAAATATGCGCGAAAGTGCATTCGCAACAACGTTCTTAAAAACACGAAATACAACACTAGGACTTTAATACGCATAACCAAACAATAGCAGAAACACTAAATACAAAATATACAGTGGAGTGTAGAAATAACACTCAACGTTTACGTTTACGTTGATTTTTTATGGATTAATTTATATTTTTGTTTTAATTGGTGTATTTAGTATCTTATAGGTACAAATTGATAATTACGTGTCCATGAAGCAAAAATGATCAAAGAGTACGAAAAGAGTTTCAATTAGGAAAGTAAAATGAAATTAGAAGAGAGGATCCCTCAACATCTTCGGTAGTGTCCACGAAGTCGAGCATAACTTTCTCATCCGGACTCCAAATCAACTGGTTCCGGCGGCATTAGAAACCTATTTTAGCTGGCTACAATTCATGTCTAATGTCAAATTTCGAAATTCGGACTCGAACATGGTCAAAATTGGATTCCAAAAGCGATCATGAAAATACGTGCTACAGTTCGAGGACATGAATGCGCATCAAGAAACGTTCACCAGGAATAGATGGATCTGGATAACAATAGCACCTCGAGGTGAGAGAGGTGCCTCGAGACTGAAGTTTGAGATCCACTGGAAGACACTGAAGAAAGAGACGCCAAAGAAAGATAGAAATTGTAGGAGTAAGACAAGATCCCCAAAATATACGAAGAAGAGGGGTAGGGGTATGCTGCTGTCGTATCAAGGCCCAAGCCGTGGTCAGGGAAAACTTGCCATCCGAAGAAGCTCTCAAAATGGGCAAATCACCCGAATCACCAGAGATTGGGACCGAGCAAATCCTATCGAACTGACGTTAGCCGACCACCATCAATAATGCCCGAAAGGGGACCATCGCCAAACCAGTGGTCATGCCAGAAATAAAGATGACCTGGACCAATCGGCCAAAATATTTGAGCTTGAACACGCTCTCGAACACGGCACATGCGCTTCCACACCGTGCTATAGAGTGAAGACACAACGGATGAACCTGGGAACCAATTCCGGCAATACTTGTTTCGGAGAAAACGGGCCCAAAGAGAATCCTAAGCACGGAATCGGAACCAAAGCTTGTAAGTGAAGGCGTCAATCATATCCGTCAAACGCCTCAACCCCAAGCCACCCTTACCAACTGGCCGACAAATCGTCTCCCAAGCAACCCACTGAGGCCGGCGCTGATTACCATAAGATCCCAGAGAAATCGAGCCATGCACTGCTCAATCTGCTGAATAATGTACTGCGGAGGTTGAATAACCTGAACAAGATGCAAAGCCATAGTCGAAAGCGTACTCCGGATCAAGGCGAGACGGCCCCCGAAAGCCAAAGCGGTTCGAGCCCAACCCGAAATCCTTGCGCGCATGCGATCAAGCGAAGTCTGTAACAAACTGCCCCAGTCCCTCCCTTTGTATAGCGGAGCTCCAAGATAAATGATAGGAAGATCCTTTCTCGGATAACTGAGAATCCGAGAAATAGTGCGAAGATGACCATCAGAACATGCTCTATCAACTGTGAAAGTGCTCTTGTGCACACTAATCAACTGACCCGAAGTCCGACAGTAATGATCGAGAAAATCCCGCAGCTTCTTCAGGCCAATATTATGGCACGAGGTAAATATCATCACATCATCCGCATAGGCCAAATGGGATATAGGGATGCTTAGGCAACGGCTGTATAGTGCATCTAGACCTCTCGAAAAATACTCAGCCGCAAGTACAAAAAGAGTTGGCGAGAGCGGATCTCCCTGCCTTAGACAGAGAGACGAAGTGAAATACCCCGTCAGCTCCCCGTTGATTAGTAAAGAGAACTGGCACGAGGAAACACATCGCCGAATAATATCAACGAAGTTCGCCGAGAAACCCATCAGCTCGAGTACACGAAATAAGAACCGCCACTAAACTCTATCATAAGCCTTTGCCATATCCAGCTTCAAAATAAGATTCGGATTTTGACAACGAACTGATATCGAGTGGACCATATCTTGTGCTAATAAGATGTTATAACTAATGAGACGACCCTGAACAAACCCACTCTGAGAAGGAGAAATAATGTGGGGCAAATAAGGTGCTAGTATGTTCGTAAGTAACTTAGTGAAAATTTTATTGGTCACGACCGTTAGACAGGAATTGTAGCCAGCTGAAATAGCGTTCTAATGCCGCCGGAACCAGTTGATTTGGAGTCCGGATGAGAAAGTTATGCTCGACTTCATGGACACTACCAAAGATGTTGAGGGATTCTCTCTTCTAATTTGAATTTATTTTCTTAATTGCAACTCTTTTCTTACTCTTTGATCATTTTAGCTTCCTGGACACCTTAATTTTCGATTCGTATCTATAAGATACAAAATCCACCAATTAAAACAGAAATATGAATTAATCCAAAAAAAAATCAACGTAAACGTAAACGTAGAGTTTTATTTCTACACTCCACTGTATCTTTTTTATCTACTGTTTTTGCTGTTGTTTGTTGATGCGTAATAAAGTCCTAGTATTGTAGTTCGTGTTTTTAAGAACGCTGTTGTGAATGCACGTTTGCGCATGTTTTTTGACATGTACGTCTGTGCATGTCCATTTGAGCGAGTGTGTTTGTGCATGTTTGTGATTTGTATTAATTTCCTAGGACTGTAGTTTGTGTTTTCATGATCCTTTTTGCAAATGCACTTTTGCGTGAGTACTTTTGTGCATGCTTTTGTACTCTTACTTATGTGTGTATCTTTTCTAGCGAGTGTTTTTGTGCACGTTTCTCGATGCGCATTCATGTCCTCTAACTGTAGTACGTATTTTCATGATCGCTTTTGGAATCCAATTTTGACCATGTTCGAGTTCGAATTTGGAATTTTGTCATTAGACAGGTATTGTAGCTAGATGAAATAGCTTTCTAAGGCCGCCGGAACCAGTTGATATGGAATCCGGATGAGAAAGTTATGCTCGACTTCGTGGACACTACCGAAGATGTTGAGGGATTCTCTCTTCTAATTTTATTTGATTTTCCTAATTGCAACTCTTTTCTTACTCTTTGATCATTTTAGCTTCCTGGACACCTAATTTTCGATTTGTACCTATAAGATACCACATCCACCAATTAAAACAGAAATATGAATTAATCCAAAAAAAAAATCCACGTAAACGAAACGTAGAGTTTTATTTCTACACTCCACTTTATCTTTTTTATCTATTGTTTTTGCTGTGGTTTGTTGATGCGTATTAAAGTCCTAGTATTGTAGTTCGTGTTTTTAAGAACGTTGTTGCGAATGCACGTTTGCGCATGTTTTTGTACATGTACGTTTTTGCATGTCCATTTGAGTGAGTGTGTTTGTGCATGTTTGTCGATTTGTATTAATTCCCTAGGATTGTAGTTTTTGTTTTCATAATCCTTTTTGCAAATGCACTTTTGCGTGAGTACTTTTGTGCATTCTTTTGTACTTTTACTTATGTGTTGACCATGTTCGAGTCCGAATTTGGAATTTAGTCGTAAGACCTGAATTGTAGCCAGCTGAAATAGCTTTCTAATGCTGCCCGAACCAGTTGATTTGGAGTCCGGATGAGAAAGTTATGCTCGACTTTGTGTACACTACCAAAGATGTTGAGGGATTCTCTCTTATAATTTGATTTGATTTTCCTAATTGCAACTCTTTTCTTACTCTTTGATCATTTTTGCTTCTTCGACACCTAATTTTCGATTTGTACCTATAAGATACCATATCCACTAATTAAAACAGAAATATGAATTAATCCAAAAAAAAATCCACGTAAACGTAAACGTAGAGTTTTATTTATGCACTCCACTTTATCTTTTTCATGTATTGTTTTTGTTGTTGTTTGATGATGCGTATTAAAGTCCTAGTATTGTAGTTCGTGCTTTTAAGAACGTTGTTGCGAATGCACTTTTGCGCATGTTTTTTTACATGTACGTTTGTGCATGTCCATTTGAGCGAGTGTGTTTGTGCATGTTTGTCGATTTGTATTAATTCCCTAGGATTGTAGTTTGTGTTTTCATAATCATTTTTGCAAATGCACTTTTGCGTGAGTACTTTTGTGCATGCTTTTGTACTCTTACTTATGTGCGTAACTTTTCTAGCGAGTGTTTTTGTGCACGTTTCTCGATGCGCATTCATGTCCTCGAACAGTAGTGCGTATTTTCATGATCACTTTTGGAATCCAATTTTCACCATGTTCGAGTCCGAATTTGGAATTTGGCCGTTAGACATAAATAGTAGCCAGCTGAAATAGCTTTCTAATACCGACGGAACCAGTTGATTTGGAGTCCGGATGAGAAAGTTATGCTCGACTTCGTGGACACTACCGAAGATGTTGAGGGATTCTCTCTTCTAATTTGATTTGATTTTCTTAATTGCAACTCTTTTCTTACTCTTTGATCATTTTAGCTTCCTGGACACCTAATTTTTTCGATTTGTACCTATAAGATACCACATCCACCAATTAAAACAGAAATATGAATTAATCCAAAAAAAAAATCCACGTAAACGAAACGTAGAGTTTTATTTTTACACTCCACTTTATCTTTTTTATCTATTGTTTTTGCTGTGGTTTGTTGATGCGTATTAAAGTCCTAGTTTTGTAGTTCGTGTTTTTAAGAACGTTTTTGCGAATGCTCTTTTGCGCATCTTTTTTTACATGTACATTTTTGCATGTCCATTTGAGCGAGTGTGTTTGTGCATGTTTGTGATTTGTATTAATTTCCTAGGATTGTAGTTTGTGTTTTCATAATCCTTTTTGCAAATGCACTTTTGCGTGAGTACTTTTGAGCATGCTCTTGTACTCTTACTTATGTGTGTATCTTTTCTAGCGAGCGTTTTGTGCACGTGTCTCGATGCGCACTCATGTCCTCTAACTGGAGTACGTATTTTCACGATCGCTTTTGGAATCCAATTTTGACCATGTTCGAGTTCGAATTTGGAATTTTGCCGTTAGGCAGCAATTGTAGCCAGCTGAAATAGCTTTCTAATGCCGCCGGAACCAGTTGATTTGGAGTCCGGATGAGAAAGTTATGCTCGACTTCGTGGACACTATCAAAGATGTTGAGGGATTCTCTCTTCTAATTTGAATTTATTTTCTTAATTGCAAATCTTTTCTTACCATTTGATCATTTTTGCTTCCAAGAACACCTAATGTTCGATTCGTACCTAGAAGATACCAAATCCACCAATAAAACAGAAATATGAATTAATCCAAAAAAAATCCACGTAAACGCAAACGAAGAGTTTTATTTCTACACTCCCCTGTATCTTTTTTATCTAGTGTTTTTGCTGTTGTTTGTTGATGCGTAATAAAGTCCTAGTATTGTAGTTCGTGTTTTTAAGAACGTTGTTGCGAATGCACGTTTGCGCATATTTTTTTACATGTACGTTTGTGCATGTCCATTTGAGCGAGTGTGTTTGTGTATGTTTGTGATTTGTATTAATTTCCTAGGATTGTAGTTTGTGTTTTCATAATCCTTTTTGCAAATGCACTTTTGCGTGAGTACTTTTGTGTATGCTTTTGAACTCTTACTTATGTGTGTATCTTTTCTAGCGAGTGTTTTTGTGCACGTTCCTCGATGCGCATTCATGTCCTCTAACTGTAGTACGTATTTTCATGATCGCTCTTGAATCCAATTTTGACCATGTTCAAGTCCGAATTTGTAATTTTGCCGTTTGACGGGAATTGTAGCCAGCTGAAATAACTTTCTAATGCCGCCGGAACCAGTTGATTTGGAGTCCGGATGAAAAAGTTATGCTCGACTTTGTGGACACTACCAATGAACTTGAGGGATTCTCTCTTCTAATTTGAATTTGTTTTCTTAATTGCAACTCTTTTCTTACTCTTTGATCATTTTTGCTTCCCGGACACCTAATTTTCGATTCGTACCTATAAGATACCAAATCCACCAATAAAAACAGAAATATGAATTAATCCAAAATAAAATCCACGTAAACGCAAACGTAGAGTTTTATTTCTACACTCCACTGTATCTTTTTTATCTAGTGTTTTTGTTGTTGTATGTTGATGCGTAATAATGTCCTAGTATTGTAGTGCGTGTTTTTAAGAACGTTGTTGCGAATGCACGTTTGCGCATATTTTTTGACATGTACGTTTGTGCATGTCCATTTGAGCGAGTGTGTTTGTGCATGTTGGTGATTTGTATTAATTTCCTAGGATTGTAGTTTGTGATTTCATAATCCTTTTTGCAAATGCACATTTGCGTGAGTACTTTTGTGCATGCTTTTGTACTTTTATGTGTGTATATTTTCTAGCGAGTGTTTTTGTGCACGTTTCTCGATGCACATTCATATCTTCTAATTGTAGTACGTATTTTCATGATCGCTTTTGGAATCCAATTTTAACCATGTTCGAGTCCGAATTTGGAATTTTGCCGTTAGATAAGAATTGTTGCCAGCTGAAATAGCTTTCTAATGCCGCTGGAACCAGTCGATTTGGAGTCTGGATGAGAAAGTTATGCTCGACTTCGTGGACACTACCAAAGATGTTGAGCGATTCTCTCTTCCAATTTGAATTTATTTTCTTAATTGCAACTCTTTTCTTACTCTTTGATCATTTTTGCTTCCTAGACACCTAATATTCGATTCATACTTATAAGATACCAAATCCACCAATTAAAACAGAAATATGAATTAATCCAAAAAGAAATCCACGTAAACGTAAACGTAGAGTTTTATTTCTACACTCCACTGTATCTTTTTTATCTAGTGTTTTTGCTGTTGTTTGTTGATGTGTAATAAAGTCCTAGTATTGTAGTTCGTGTTTTTAAGAACGTTGTTGTGAATGCACGTTTGCGCATATTTTTTTACATGTACGTTTGTGCATGTCCATTTGAGCGAGTGTGTTTGTGCATGTTTGTGATTTG